GGGTGAGGAGAGGGAGAAAAAGAGAGAATTTGGAACTCAGAATTTAAAAAAACCAAATGTTAAAAACTGTTTTCACATGCAATTGGGAAAAAAGTTTAAAAACATGCCTGACATATCACTGATCTCTTGCAGTAACAAGTTATGATTCGCTGGGGATTATTCAGGAATTTGTCTAACTCTTCTTGAACCACTGTGTGTCTCCAGATTGTACTAAGATTCAGAATAGTGACTTTGATAAGGTTACCATCTACAGTGTAAAGTAGTTCTTTTTTTTATTTGTTCTGAAACATACTCTTTCAGGCTTCTTTTGGAGAAGTCAGTATTCACCTCATAAATCATTGTAGACGTTTGGATCAGATCCAAATTCTGCCACCACTCCCCACCCCCCCATTGAAGAATCCTGTTTTAGTTTGTCATTATGTAAAGAGTCTTGTTCTTTCAGTATCTTTTCTCCATCTTGATTTGTATCTCTTGAATTGGCAACCAGATCTACTGGAATGTTGCATATAGAGCATTATGTTGATCGTGATCAAAACTTGTGAGTAGAGTAACATCTGTGCATTCATTCATTCATTCAACTATCATTCCTGACATTGACTAATGTTTTGTGATCCAGTATAGCTTCAATAGTACATTGAGCTGATGTCTTTGTCACAACACATTATTTTCGTAGCATAGAATGTACATTTTGGCCAAGATTTCCGGAGTTTCGTTTTTTAATTCTTTCAGTTTTTCAGTGGAGGACACCTAGTTCTGGTGTTTTGGTCTAGTTGGTTAAGCTTAGAATATCCTTCATATTTGCCACTATTGAGCTAGCTGCTATAAAAGACAGTTAGGAAGTAACAGTTTTTCCTGTTTCTTTCTTAGAAAAGACTGAAGCAAAAGATTTTATTTAGGCCATTTGTTCCATTTTTGTCATTGAGTATATCTGTGCGGTGATTATTAAGTGTTCCTTGTGAGTTGACTTGTGAGGTTTTTGCAAGGTTAATTTCAAATTCCTTTTTGGCCTGGCTCATGTCTAGTTTGTATTTGACTATAATACACTTTGTATTCTTCTCTAGTCTCACTTGGGCATCTTGATCCCACAAGGAGGTATAGGGGAGTGCTTTCTAGGAAAGGGAGTGTTGCCAATTAGCTAAGAAGGGTTTTGTGCCCTGTTTTTCTCATCTGTGGTGCGTGATATTTCTGGTCTTGGTTTCTTTTGGTTGCTTGGTTTCAACTGTTACAGCACATGTGATTGGATTTTAGCTATTTGAATTACCAAAAGTCTGTATTCCGTAATTGAATATGTTTGTAGTGTTCCCTTCTTTGTATACTAATTAAATGTTAAAATGAGTGGGATGTAGCAATAAGTCAGGCCAAATAGTTCACCACTGTAATTTGCCAGCTGTTGTTTCCAGTTTATGGCTGCTTCAGGATGATTTGGTTTCCTAAATCTGTGCTTTCAGTCACCCATGACAGTCTACCCCTTTGACCCTCTGTGTTACAGTACTCTTATATGAAGGAGATCTTTAACATGTCCCATGTTTCTTTTTTTTTTTTTTGGAGGGGAGGGTGGTGAGAATTCTTACCCAGGTATAGGAAATATGCGTGGAACTGTAAATTACTCTTAGGGAAGTATAAACCTAACCTCTCTGCGTGTGTGTGTGTGTATGTGTGTGTGTGTGTGTGTACCCATATGTGCGTGTGTGTGTACCCATATGTGCGCGCGTGTGTGTGTGTGTGTGTGTGTGTGTGTGTGATTTTCCTAGGTTAATTAGGTACAAGGCCTATTTTATGGTAATCATTTTTTTCAATTCCAGTGGAACTTTAAGTTACCCTGACTTTATAGATTCAATTGTTGTATTACTCACCCATAAATCACTTTGTCAGGATTGTAAACATTAAAAAATAAAAGTCAGCCACAGTTTCAGCTCATCTGTCTTTTCCTCATATGTAGTTAACAACAAAATCCCCAAGCCAGTCAGCACTCTTCTGCACTTTTATCAATCATTACACAACCTGGGTTGTACCCTTATATAATTTTCCTTGTCCGTGATTCATTAATTCATTCAGCAAACCTTTACATGTCTACTGTGATTCATTAATTCATTCAGCAAACCTTTACATGTCTACTGTTTACAATTTGGTGTGCTGAGCACTCATGTAAAAAAAAGAGAATGCTTTTCTTTCTGTTGATCTAAATCTTATCACTGCTGTCCCCAGTTAACCTATCCACACTGTTTATTAAGCAGTTTAATTCAACAAATATTTGAGTCCTTATAGTGTACAAGTCACTATGCTTAGGAAATTTAAGGATAACAAAGACATTGGTAGTCCTTAAAGAGCTTGTACCTACTGCGTGAGATAAGCACACAAATAATGAGAGTATCAGATGGAATTATCAGTATCATTAAGAAAAGTGCATTGGGGCACTAGTACAGTTCACCTATTACAATGTAGATATTTAATGAATGTTGAATCGAGTTGTTCCCTCTACCTGGAAAATATTGGGTCATGTTTGTGGAACAGTAAGTATAGTTTGGTGGGCTTTGTAAATTTAGTACATGTAGCTGAATAGTGGGAGGTAAGGTAAAAAATATATATATAAATATTAGGTCTGTGTTGTGAAAGTTTTGAATACTGGATTGAAGAGTTTGGACTTTGTTTAATAGGCAGCAAGGAGATGTTGGAGAATTTTGAGCAGGAAATTGACATGATCAGAAGGATGCTTCGGGAAGCTCAATTTGGAAAATTTTCTATTTCAGAAGTATAAAACTTTTAAACAATTGATTCCAGGTATATTCAATTTTCAATGAGAGAAAATTTCCATAAGAAGGAACAACGCTGTTAATAGGCAGTTCCATTCAATATAACAAATTATCTGACTGTGATATAGAAATGATTTTTTTTTTCAAAGTAGAAATTGAAGATAGAACAGATAAGATGTGGGGAAGGGAAATTGTGAAGAAAGGAAAGAGTATATTATACCCTGCTATGTCAAATGTCTAAGTCAGTCACTTTAAACAGTTTACTATAGTCTTTTCTATACTATGAAGTACACTGGCAGCTTATCTATTTAATCTGTTTTATAGACTTTTGAAATTTTTGCTAGTTTATAAAAGGATAACTTATAAACTTGCTTTGAAATTTTAGAGGTGCTGAAATACAACTATCAGCCTCAAAGTACTTTTAACATTCAAAAATTGTCTGATTGTTCTGTTTTTTGGGAAATTAGGCCAGTCTCACAAAGGCAATATGACTGCGTGTATCTTAATATACCTGCAAACCTAGACCTCTCAAAAGGCTGCAAGATCATGTCCCACGACCAGAAAGTGAATCTCCATTTCCTTCTCTCTTGTTCCCTCTCTCCTTGCCCCCAAACCTTTCAGGAAAGGGAAGGGAAAGGAAGAGAAGGGAAGTGGGATTTCATTTCCACTGGAGGCCCTGTTTTCGGAAGGGAAAAGTGGCTTTTCTCCTGGTCTCTGGGAGAAGTAGAGAGAGATTGTGGCTATTTAGTGCTAGTCTAAATTGTGTAGTTCAAGTTAGTCTCTGACCCTTTCCTACTTCCCTTCTACCTTTCTCTCTTATTTGATTCCATTTTCCCTACCCCCTAAGTGCACAGGAACCTTATCCTACTTAGCTGTACAAAACTTCTCACTGTGGTTGTTTCTGCCAACAGTGTGTTCATATTTCTCCTCCTTTTTATATTTCCATTCCTTTGATGAGCAGGTCTCAGGTAGGAGCTGGTTTAATAAGATTGTTTTCTTATTAATTCCTACTAAAATAAGAATTAAACTAATAGTTTACTTCCCTTAATTCTTGGGAAGCATTTGAATTTTAAGAAAAAGCTGACTAATCAAATATATTTCTGATTGGATGTTAGTTAATAAATGAATTTTAAGAACATACTGATTATTCAAGTGATTCTCTAGTTGATGAAATTTCAGGTAGTGTAGTGGAGATATTTTGAGGTGGGAACCCCTTTGAGAAGGTTCTGTTATTTATGGAATTGTAAGAGTTTTCAGAATTGACACAGAGCATCTTTTCTTCACTGTTCATTCCCGTTCTCCCTGCAGGAACCTCGGATGTATTCTTCTCATTCTGGTTCCTGCAGCCCTTTTACTTCTCTCCTTTTAGATGTAGCATGTTAGACTTAGCCTGGTGGTTGTATTATGACTTGTCGGCAGGGGCCTATGAGATTTCTGCTATGGCTCTAGGGTAAGACCCAAACTGTCTCTTATGCAACAGCTAAAAATCTTTCCAGTCCTTGAGTGCTGACCACAATGCTTTTACTCTCAGAATGTTTGCATACCTAAACTTAACACAAATGCTAAACCCTGGTTACACTCCCTCTTATTCTCATCAACCATTGGTTGGATGGTGCTATATATGCCTGTCTGTTAACAGCCAGCAGAGGGAGGCAAGATAACATTTTCTACTTAGCAGTAGAAACTTCTTAGAGGGATGTGTTAATACAGTTCTATTAGGGAAAAAATGGTTTATACTACAAACAGGAAGAAGCAGGTTGTTACATGAGTTTCTCCTCTGTACTGATTCTGTTGACTAGATGAAACCAAAGGTTTCCAGTTGTAGGAAGGCTATTTAATTTGGATTTTGAGCCCTTTTACTGCTTGGGCATAGAATTTGTTTGAGTAGTTATTAAAGGAAATGGAAACATTTGTTATTTTATAAGCATTCATTTTATTTCTTACCCTGCCTCTCTCCTATCTGTGTGCCCTTGGGTAAATCACTTTAACTCTTGGGTTCTAAGTTTCTTCATTTCTGAAGTCAGGGACTAGATGATCTCCAAGATCTAGATCCTACCTCTACTAACAAAAAAATTTACCAGGTTGGCTTCAGATTTGTTCAGCGTATTACATGTGTTCATGTTCAAGTTATCTGGAATTTTTTGTTTTGAGAATTGCTTTCACGGTTTTCTGAGTAGTTGAATTATTATATGTAGAAGTACCTTAAAGCATTTTTTTTTCTGTGCAATTGACAATAATGGTGTGTTTCAGGTCACAGGTTGAACATCACAGCAGAGAATGATTGCCGGCGGTTGCACTGTTCTCTGAGAGACTTGAGCTCTCTCCTCCAGGCTGTTGGCCGATTAGCTGAATATTTTATTGGAGATGTGTTTGCTGCGAGATTCAATGATGCACTTACAGTTGTAGAGAGGTAAGCAAAAGGTCACAGTGTAAGTCATCTCTTGGTAGTTTTGTCATTCTTTTGAGAAACCTTTTATGTAAAGACTAGAGGATGATATTAACCCCACCAGAAACCCAAGTGAAAACATTTTGTTCTGTTTTTTGTTGTACAAAAATGTGGTCTTTTGAAAACATGGATTGGTAGTGGTCAGTTATTGTTGCTGGTGCTGCTTCTGTTGTTGGTCGTCAAATAGTATCTTTTGTTTTTACATCACCTTCATTTCCAAATCCATCTCTCACCCCTCACCTGGCCAGAGAGTTATCTTTGTACTAAACAGGGTTGGAGAACTTGCAGTCTCAAGGCCACATGTGGCCCTCGAGGTCCTCAAGTGCAGCCGTTAGACTGAATCCAAACTTCACAGAACAAATCCCCTTAATACAAGGATTTGTTCTGTAAAATTTGGACTAAGTTAAAAGGCCATACTCAAGGACCTAGAAGGCCACAGGTTTCCCAGTTGAGCAAAACTAGTTTACACATCAATCATATCTGACTGTATAACTGCAGGATTTCAAACCTATAGTCTCCCACCTCTGTAAAGAAGTGGCTCTTTCAGAGCCAAGCTCAATTATCATAATCACTCAGCATTCAGGGTTTATGTTTTGTTGTTTGTTTTCATTTTTTTTTAAATTTATTTACATCGTTATAGTCATTATTTAATAGAAAGTCTAGTTAATTGTCTCACACCACAAATTTTAGAGTATTTTGCATAGTAGAGGTATCCTGTTAACTCTCATACTAGATCCTTTAACTCCTTCCCCACTCCCCCCACCAAAGTACTATTTCTTTGTTCTTATTGTAATCTTAGCCACCTTGCCCATAGTTTTTGATACAGAAGGATCTAGAGTATTTTACTGTTGCTTCATTCTTGCTGCAGCCCTCTACGACTTACAGATCATTCTCTTAGCTTTCTCAATTATTGTAATACCTGGTTCATTTTTTTCTCGACTCTACCCCATTTTTTGCCATTATCTTTGGGGATCTACTTGACTGTATGATTCCTTAGCCTTCTTTAATATATTAATTACACATTGACTTACATACATTTAGTTTTTGCCATGTCTCAAAATAGAGCTGTTTCTAAGAGCCAGAACTTTGACATTATATTCTCCAACTACGACCAATCATACTTCTTTATTTTTCACTCACTCTCATCTCCTGTTAGGATAGACATTCACATTCAGGTATGCATTTCAAGCTATACTTTTCCACTAGCTCTTTCACAGATGCCTGCAAATATGTTCAGATGTCTCTAATCCCAAATAAAATCTTCTCTTGGCTCTTTCTACCTCATCTTATTTCTTTTCACCCATTTATTGATAGTACTTAAAAGATATATAATTTTGTGAGTACCAAAGTACCTACTGGATATTTTTAACCAGTTGTTCTATAAGCATTTCAAATTCAACATATCCAAAGGAGAACTAATTATCTTTCCTCCAAAATCTTCCTCTTTTTTGAATTCCTTATTTCTGTTAAGGATACAATACTTTTAGGCACCAGCTTTGCGCAGCCTCAGAATCATCACTCTTTGAAGACTTACTGACTCTTCACTTTCTCTCATCTCACATATATAGTTGATTGCAAGGATACCCCCACAACCTCTCTCCTCCCTGTCCCCTCCTTTCCACTCACATGGCTTTTTCAGGCCTTTATCACCTCTCCCCTCTCTAGTCCATCCTTCACACATTTGCTAAAATGGTGTTCTTAAAGCACAGATGTGATCATTTTACTCCCGAACTCAGTACATTCCAATGGTTCCATATTGCCTTTAGGATAAAATACAAACTCCTCTGTTTGGCTTTTAAAGTCCTTCACAATATGGTTCCAACCTCCCTTTCCATCTTTGTGTTACTCTCCTTCATGCATTCTCCAGTCCAGCCAAAATAGCCTTCATGCTAGTTCCTACCTCATAGCACTCCATCCCCTTGTTCGTTTAACATTTAGTCAGTAAACATTTATTAAGCGCCTACTGTGTGCCAAGGATTATGGTATTAAGGCATGGGTACAGGCTGTCCTATGTTACACCAATAGCATGTCCTTCCTTCTAACCGTTGCCACTTAGAGTCTCAAGTTTCCTTCAGAGCTCAGGTCCAATACTACTTGATCCCCTCAGTTGTTAGTATCTCTGTCCTCTTCCCTATTACCTTGTTTTTATGCTGTATAGATTTTAGATATATATTTAATTTTTGTCTTTGTGTCACCAATACTTAACAAAGTGTCTCGGATATAGGTGTAAGTATGTAGGGCATGCTTACTAATTGATTTTTAAAAATCTTGTGAAAGAGGATGGGGAAAGATTATGAGCATCATGTCATTAAATAATGAGAAGTAGTGGAAGGAAAAGCAAGTTTATGGAAAGCTTAGCAAGAAACTCAACTAAGACATATACTGAAAAGAAAGGATGAAGCTGGAAGGATGACAAACATTAAAAAAAAATGGAAAACATCTGTCAGAATAGCTGAAACTCTTCTCTCACAGTGGAACCAGCACATTTGCACCTTATCTTAGTTCCTGAAGTGCTGCACAAGGAGTAGAAATGTTACCAAGGAGAGAAAAATGGGTAGTGCTGCTGAATCAGATCAAGTATATGTAGAAGGCCGTTTTTGGAGAAGACAAATTTGGAGTGAGTTGAGGGATCTCTTCTTGAATATCTGAAAGAGGACTGGAAAAAGTTACATTTTCTAACTGTGTCAAACACTTAAATAACTGAATATGCGCCTACATGTTTACTTTCGCAGTCCTGCAAAATCTTTGTGAGAATAATCTATACACAACGTATCTTGGATGGAATTTTAAGAGAGCAACCAGACAAGCTTTAAAAAAAAAAATACACACACACACACACACACACACACACAGTGTGTGTGTGTGTGTGTGTGTTCCATGGCACTCCACATTTTTGAAGTTACACAATTGACCAAAAGGTACAGGGAATACAAGATCCCATTGTACTTTTCGTTAACTGTAAAAATGCATTTGATGCAGTGGAACAAATGCTGTTTGAAGACCTGTCTTCAAAGTATCGGAATCATAAACAATTCCTTGGAAGATGCAGCAGAAATAACTTCAGTCGTCTTCTGATTATTAACATCAAGTGAGGCATAAAACAAGGTGATATAAGCTCACCATAAGTACTTGCTTTTGCCATAGAGGATATTTTACACAGAGCCCAAATGGAACTAGAGAGTCACTATAGATTGTGAGGTCCTCTAGGTGTTTGTGGGTGACATTGTGGTTGCAGCAAGTCTGGGAACATTTCAGAGCTTCCTAAGTGAGATCTATAATCACTCAAGGGTTCAGAATCCTCTGACTAGCCATACAGGAAAAAACAAAATGACTAAAGAAAACCTATTGTCTGAACTACAATGTGTAATTTAACAGGGCCCAGAATTGAATAGTAAGAAAAAGGGAGTGTTGGACTGCTTAGTGCTTTTAGTGATCCCAAGTAGCTCCCTAATTCAGTTGCCCAGCTGTTTAACATCACTATTCTGCTATTGCTGATAAATGACTTTCATAAAATACTATAGTCTTTGAAGAATTAAAGTTGTAGGCTACCCAAAAGTTAGTAAGGAGGGATGTGGTACAATATAATACCAACAAATTACTTAAGAGAAATGGCATAATCAAGTCAGCAAACATTTATTAAGCACCTACTGTATAGCAGGCATTGTGCTTAAGTACTGGGGATACAGAGAAAGGCAAAAACAGTGCCTGCTTTCAAGATGCTTGCACTCTAATGAAGAAGACTGCATGTAGACAACAGTATGCAAATAAGATGTATTCACCAAATAATCAACAGAAGGAAGGTGGTAGAACTGAGAGGGATCTGGAAAGACTTCTTTTAGAACAGGCCTGCACAACCTCTGGCCCTCAGCTTGCGGCACACCAAAGGATTTCCTCTGCATACGAGAGATGTTTTCCTCTACATTTTTCGCAGGCCACCTGAAATCCTTTGGCATACCACAAGCAGCCCGAGGGCCTTAAGAGCAGCAGGTTGTGCAGGCCTATTTTAGAAGGTGAGTTGTTAGCTGGGACTTGAAGGAAGGCATGGAAGTCAGGAGGTGGAGATAAGGAGGGGGAAAATTTTAGACTTGAGGGACAGCCAGCAATAATGATCAGAGTCAAGAGATGAATATTTTGTACAAGGAATAGCAAGGAAGCCAATATCACTGTAACACATTATGTGGCAGAGCGAAGACGAGGAAAAGAAGATATAAGAAGACTGTTGTGAAGGACTTTAAAAGCCCAACTGAGGATTTTATATTTATTCCTAGAGGTAGTAATATAAGGATCTGCTGGAATTAATTGAATAGAGGGGTGAGGTGGTCAAATTTGTGCTTTAGGGAGATCAATTTGATAGTCTAGTGGAGGATAGTCTGAAGTGGGGAGAGAAAATTGAGGCAAGAAGAGCAAATTAGAAGACTAACCACTAAGTCCAGACCTGAGCTGATGAGGGTCTGCATCAGGGTGTAGAGAGAAAGAAGAGATATGTTATGAAGTAAGAATCTGTGTATCTTAGCAGCAGATTGGAGATGAGGGGGTGAGGGAGTGCGGACTCAGGGATGACACCTTGGTGGTGAGCCTGGGGGATTTGGAGGGTAGTGGTACCCTCCACAGTCACAGGGAAGTTAGGAAGAGAGAGCAGAGTTTTGGTGAGGGATGAATAAATTCAGTTTTAGACATGTCAGGTTTGAGATGTCTATGGGACATCCACTTTTAGATATCTGATAGGCAGTTAGAGATGTGAGACTATAAAGATGGAGGAAATTTAGTTGGTGGTGAGGACAGTTTAGGGGTTACAAAGCAGAGTAAGAGTGGAATGACAACAGATTATGATCACATAAAGGAATTCAAGACTTCATGATCATGGAAGTGGAACACTTGTGGGTGATGGCAAGATCAAAGGCATGACCCATTTCTGTGGTATGTAGCTGAGGTGGAATGGAGAAGTAGGTCATAAGAGCTGAAGTAGATGGAGGAACTGGGAAGTTAAGGTATTTGAAGGACTATCGTTATTGAAGTCTCCTAGTATAAAGATTATGAGCCAGGCACTGAACTGATTGAGGAAAGGGTTGTCTTGGAGGTTAGGAGATAACTACCAGAATCTTGACTGAATGGTAAATATAGATTGAGTGAATTTCAAAGCAGCAGAGGTTACTAAGTGAAAATGGTAGAGAAAGAGGAGTGGAATCAGCGATATTCCCACTCCCACACGTTGGCCAGTGACTAAGGCTATAGGGCTATGATAAAAGTATTGGAAAGGGTATCAGGAGAGACCCAGCTCACAATGAGTAGAAGAAGATGGAAAGAGTGAGAAAGGAAAAGGTTTAAGATGAAAGCAAGTTTATTGCTTAAAGAGCACAGTGGAAGTCATGGGTAAATGGTAATATGAGACATTGGGGGTTTGGGTTGAGGGGGATGGGAATAAGGGAGTAGTCAGTATGGGATGGGGGGGATTCAGAATCACTAGGATAGAGAGAGTGGGAGTTTGTTAATAATTGAGGAATGAGTAGGTTGTCATCATCCCTAGGAGGGGTCTGAGTAATGTGCTTCCAGGGCATAAAGGATGTTGTCAGAAAGGTACATTATCCTAAAAGGAGGTGAGGCATTCATCCAGTAAAAGAGGAAGAATAACAAATGGACAACTTACAGTGCTCTGTGGCATCCCTACGATGTCAGTATGTCTAGAGGAAAGCCTCCAGCATGTTGGGAGAATTAATAGGAAGATGTTGACAGTTGACAGAAAACATGGATGGGTTGAAATCTGCTTGGTTGATGGGAGTACACCAGATCAAAGTATTAAAGAAGTACATTTACAAAGTGACAACATAGAGCAAAATTTAAACAAATCCAGCATATAGTTTGCTACCTTTTTTTAAAAAATAAATTCTTAATTTATGATTCATAGCTCTTCTCTTTTTTTCTTTTTATGGCTTCAAAGAAAAAAAAAGATAGATGCTAAAAATAATAGATCCCTTACTTCCTTAATTTATTATAAAAACCTCAGGGCTTGTGTTTGGTTTGCCACTTATACCTTTCCCTCGTAATTATCAGAAAGAGAAGTTCTGGAGGGAAAAAAAAGTCCTTTTTTTTCTTTTTTTTGTCATTTTCTGAATAGAAATGGAAAGCCTAGGTGCATATCTCATGTCAGCAGGGTAAATACTTTTGGCTGTCTCTTCCCAGTCAGTAAGGAATAATTTTCCACTTCAGAGGAAGTAGAATTTTTCCTTTTGGGAAAGAAATTTAGCTACTGTTAGGGTATTTACTGGTAATTTGTATGCAGTATTCCCCTTAGCAACCAACAGTTTTTCCAACTTGTGTATCATAGAGATTAAAATGAAATCTATCCTTACTTCTGAAACTCTTCTAAAATGTTCAGTATCCCTTTTAGGACAAACCATTTTCAAATAGCATTTAAACAGAAGACAGTTTATAAAAGAGATTTAAAGTTTCATAATGCCCCTCTGTTATACAAAAATGCCTACTCAAATCCATTTATAAACTCATCAAAACAGCAAATTTAGTCATATTTTGACTTCTGAAAGCCATTTTTAGTGTTTTATTAGTCCTGTTATTCTGATAGATGTAGAATAATGTAGTTAGTTTTTTCACTGTTGCTTTCTATTGGTCTACTTTTTTCCCCAACAGATTGGTTAAAGTAACTCTATATGGCTCCCAGATAAAATTGTACAACATTGAAACTGCTGTGCCATCAGTATTGAAACCTGACCTCATTGATGTGTGAGTATGGATTTTTTTTGCTGTCTAGGTATAAAAGTTCTGTTTCTTAGGTACAAGATTTTCTCTGACAGGATTCTTATAGGGTCCAAGTAAGTCAAGGAATGAAGGTGGTGTTGGGTGGGGATGAGAATATTAATTATAAGTATTCTGCCCCTCTTCACTACATATACATATTCGTGCCTCAGGTCCTTTCCTCCCATTTTGCTCTTTTTCCTTATCTTCCCTAGCCATCCTCATTCCTTCTCTATTTCCTTCCTTTCCACTCTCCACCCTTGTTGCCTCTCTTTCTGTACTTTCCTTTCCTACCTCCTCTTCTCCTTCTTTCTTTTCCCTTCTCATTTTTCCTTTTTTTTCCACTTTTTGCTCCTCTCTTCTTCTTATCCTTTCCCTGTCCTTCTTGTTCCGTCCCCTTTCTTTTATCTTCTCTCATTCTGTCCCTTTTCCTCTCTTCCCTTTTCATGCTTTTTTCTTCCTCTTCTCTTCTGCCTCATCTTTTTGCTCTCCTCCCTCCTCTTCTCTCTTCCTCTCCTTCACTTCCTTCCTTTCTTCCCCTTCTCCTTTGCTACTCCTACTTCCCTCTCTATCCCTCTCTACCTGTCTTTTTTCCCTTTCTCTTTCCTTCCCATCTTTGCTAAGAGCATATGTTAGTATTCCTTTTCCATTTCCTTCTACCTTCTTCACTAGCTTTCAGGATTTGGGGAGTGTGAGTATAAATGCTTGAATTTCTCATGCCCTAGGATGCATTATCCAGCTTTTAAAGAAATCTGAAGTTAGACTCATGGAAAATAAGATAGTATTTCTAATGGTACTTTGATTAATCTTGGCCAAAGATTTACTTCTTTATCCTATTTCAACTGAGATATGTATTTCATTTTAATAAATCAGTAAATACTAGCTAAGGGAGGCAGAACCATGGGACCAATTAGTGACAATTACAGGGAAATGTATTTCAGCTTCTAAAAAATTAGAACTCTTCATAAATGAAATGGGCTGCCTTTTGTGAACTCTACATCACTGAACGTTTCAGTTGATGACTAGATAAATATTTTGGGGGATAATTTAGAGAGGATTTATGCTTTGGGTAAATGTTGGACAGGTAACTTGTAAAGTTGCTTCTTAACTCTGAAATTCTGTGAATCCAGCTTCTCTTTCCTCCAGGTTTTTCAGGTACTAATCTAGTACATTTATAAATTTATATATGATGCATTAAGTAAAATCTTCAGATTGGAAACATAAACTTTCTTATCTCCTTTCTCTTCAGCAATTCATTCTTATAAGTAGGGTAAAAAGCACAATTATCAAACTGATTCTATACACAAGATAACTAGAGTAGTGCTCCGACTTCTAGAAATTTTGACACCCTAATGCTTATATTTTCTTCTAAGTGACTTTAAGACGATAATTTTTAAAGCATCTTTTGTTTAGTGGGTTTCACCACTGCCTCCCCTGTTTTTTAAGGGAAGAAGATCCACAATTTTATTTATTCATTTATTTATTTTTGATTTTTGGGCACTTGGGGTTAAGTGACTTGCCCAGAGTCACACAGCTAGTTAAGTGCCAAATGTTTGGTCTGAGGCTGGATTTGAACTCATGTCCTCCTGACTTCAGGGCTGGTGCTCTATCCACTGCGCCACCTAGCTGCCCCTACCTCTGCTCTCTTAAGGAAGACATAACATAACATTACATTTTATTTCTCTTTTATTTGTTAATAATTATTTAACTTTAATGTGTAAGGCACAGTGCAAAATCTGGGAAAAGCAAACCTGGTCCCGTCTTCTGAAATTTGTTATGTAGCAAGGACTCCTGAGCTCCAGAATCTTACTTCTATTTTAGTGCCTTAATAAGGCTCCCTTAAGCACCTGCCATTTAGGAATTGTAATTCAAGTTGATTTTAATTGTTAATTAATAACATTGAATAGCTGGCCTACAGCTGTTGATGTGAAATTAAGCTAGTACTTCTGAACATTATACATTAATTTACAAGTTATATTTCTTTGTAATTTTACCATCTTCTTGATTATTACACTGTAAAGTGTCCAGCACTTTTCATTTATTTGGCGCTACATGAAAAGATAACAGATTTCCTCTGTCTGTCACATGTTTTGAAAATAGATTTTTATACCACTGTTATAAAATAGAAGGTTGATGGAATTCCTGTCCCACAAGAAAACTATTTAGTTGGTGATAGATTATTACCATAAGCTTTAAAATGTAGTCTTCTTTCTCTTTTCCCAGTCATGCTCAGTCCCTGGCAGCACTCCAGGCTTACTCTCACTGGTTAGCACAATTTTATAGTGAAGCTCATCGACAGAACCCACAACAGTTCATCTCGCTGGTCTCCACTGCCATGGAAGCAGTCACACCTCTTATTAGTTCCAAGGTATTGAAACAGAGAGAGCCACTTTTGGCTCAGGGTTGGGAGTCAATAAAAATTATTTTAAAATCCACTTTCTATGTGGAAGGGTCAAAAACTTTTGTAGAAAGCCAGTGTTTTCAATAAATGCTTATGTTGAACACCTGTGTGTATGCACCTGTTGTGCATTTGACCCGGATACATGGGCAGTCCTTACATTTATGTATATAACATTTTATAGCTTATAGCTTTCTTCAAAACAATCCAGTAAGGTAACAGACTTATGTTATTCAGGTTAAGTGTTTTCTCCTAGGTCTCAGAACTAGTATTTGAGAGAACCAAGGAGGAAAATCAGGTTTTCTTACTCTGGTGTTCTTTCTACAAGGAGACTATGCTGCCTCTTCAGGCCTATATCTTCTTGTTGCCTTCACCTCATCTTTTGCTAGTGTCTGCTAACGTTTGAACAGGTAAAGGCAGCAGTATGTTCACGCTCAGGATAGTATGATCCATGTGCAGTCAATATTTAATTTTGAGTGATCTATTTTAAGATTTCTCCAAAAGCATGTTATGTTTTTTAAAAAGGAATGGAGGTAGGAAATGCCTATATTTGGTTTTGCTTTGCACATTTTCCAGTAAATATCTGTTAATTGGATTTGACAACTGGATATAAGGAATTGGACTTATTGTCCTCAGAACTTCTGCTCCTAAATTCAGGTTTATCCAGTAAACATTTTTTCTGCTGAAGGAAAACATGATAAAATGTAATCAAGAAAATATAATCACAGATAAGAAAGTGTTCAATTAATAGTCTTTTGGCATTGGGAATGTTCTCTTTTAAAAATAAACTCATGCATACAGGCGTGGTAAAAGACTTTTCCTCACTACAAAGATGTGGTTACCATGAGGGTTGAAGCATTGTATTAAGTATGGTAGAAGCAAATGAACCTATGAAAAAAATGAGATAAGATTTTGATTAATATTTATTTTTAATGTCAAAAGTGTTGGAATTTAATGACTGTAGATAAGAACCTTGTTCTTGACTATTTCTGGATTCTTGGCTTCTATTGCTTTTAATTTAGAATATGCTGGGCTAAGAAGTAGTAGTCCTTTTTACTTCAAAATGGCTTAGGACTTGACAACTGTAATTCTTTCCCATCTCTCTGTTATTTACTTTTTGAAATTTTACCCATCTTTCAGGATCCAGCTTGAGATATTAGATTATAAACTCCTTGAGGCCAAGAACTGGGTCTTAGTTTATCTTTGTATCCTCCAGGGCCTTGCAAATCCATATGTCAGGATTTTGTGGGCCTATGGTTAGAGTTTCCAGACCCATAGTATTGAATAAAGGTCATCCTGAAGGTAGGTTTTTAGTGGAGTGCTATCGACAACTATTGTCTTTGGCTCTGTTCTACATTTCTAAGACTTAATGATGATATAGTATAATTATTGTATTCACTGTTACCACAAAACTGTGAGAAATAAATACAAAATTGGGATCTAAAAAGATCCCAATAGATGGGAACAATGGGCTACATCTAAAAGATCAAATTTAATAAGGATAAATATAAAGTCCTGTGCTTAAACAAGAATTGGATAGGAAAAATATAGTTAGAGGGCAGCTTATATGAAAGAACTGGGTGTTTTAGTGTATTGCTTACTGTGGTTGTGGCTTGTCCTTCGTTCTCAAAGAGGACCATGACGTCAGGGAGATGGTGACATGACATGCAATTGATTTTGATTTAAAGATCATCGTGAATCATCAGTGTGATAATGGATAGTAGACTGCATTAGTAGATATATAGTCCCCCAGATAAAGGAAAATGTGATGATCACACTGTCTTCTGGTCAAGTCACATATAAAGTATCCAACTCTTAGATACTACATTTCAAGAAGAATATCAGTACGGTAGAAAATGATGATAAAAAGTCTTGAATGCATGCCATAGGAAGGATCATTTAAAGTGACAAAGATTGTTTAGCTTGAAGAAGAGAAGACTTGGGATTGGGAGGATAGAGAGTCACAAAAGTGCTGTCTTTTTTGTTTGCTTTCTAATATTCGAAGGATTGTCATGTGGAAGAGGAATTATGATTAGATTTGTTTGGCTTGGCCTTGGAGGGCTAAACTTTATGGGATTTAAGAGAGGGAGACAATTTTTGGCTTAATCTAGGGGGAAAATTCTCATAACAGAGCTGTTCAAAAATTAAATAAGCTACCTCTGAATGTGGTGTATTTTCACTTACGGGTGTAGGGAATGTTGTCTTTAAACAGATCTTAGGTGATTATTGTGGGGGATTGTTTTAAAGAGTATATTTTTAAGATAATTTTTGGACTAGATCTCTCAAGTCCCTGCTAATTCTGAGATTGTGTTGTAAATGTGGCCTCCTTTAGGAAACCTCTTACCACCATAGCTAAGCATGGTATTTCCTTCCTTTGTTACTTATCTTTGCCACTTACTTGTTCCTTACCGTAAAATGATTTCTTGGTGTTTTTTTTTAATATCATGGTATTATATTTGTTTTATTACTTCTCCCCCCCCCCGATTGTAAATATGGAGTGTAGGGACTGTCTTTTGCTTCTTTGTTGGTACCTAGTAGTTACTGATTTTTCAGTCTATTCTCTTATCCTAAGGACATGTAAGAAGGACACATTTGAGTCAATTATCAGGCACTTATCTAGTGTTTACTATGAATGAAATTCATCATAAGTGCTAAGCTTTGAGAGATAGGTTTTTTAAAAACCTCAGAGGAAGGATTTGAAAATGGTGGGGGGGGGAACTCGGGAATCAGAGAAGAATAAGTAGGTTGCAATAAATTATAAATTGTGGATTAATGCTGTTGAAACATTAACCTGGAGAATGATACTTGGGTGACATTAGTCAGAGAAAATTTCTTAGAGGAGAGGTGAATTTGAACCTCATCTTTGAGGGTGTGTACTAAGTAAAGAAGGTCATTGCAGGGCGGAAAATAACATGACCTAAGGCAGACAGAGCAAGACGAGGATTGTAAGGTGTGGCTTCATTGGAACAGAGGAAATTTGATGGGAAAGTTATCAAGAAGTAAGGTAGAGTGGGAACTTGGTGCGTAGTTGAGACAACAGGGTGTTTATATTTTATTTTAAAGTTTATAGGGAGTAATATAAAAAAGGGTGATTGAAAAAGAGCCTGGCTGTTGTGTTTAGGGTGAATTCCAACAGGTAGAAATTTGTGACAGAGACTACTGAAGTAGTCCAGATGTGAAGTCTGTGGAAATAGTGAGGAAGGATGGAATCTAAGAGAAATCACAGAGCGGGAATTTCTTGTGATTTGAGAGTTGTGGTGTGACAACATTATAACTGTAATTTGGTTCAGGAAAGAGCTTGCAGTGTTTCTTTTTAACATCTTGCCTTGTATCCATTTTGATAAATGGAATTACTGGGTGCTGTCATTCTTCCTCAGGTACAAGAGAAGTTACTCTTGTCTGCGTGCCATTTACTGGTCTCATTAGCCACTACAGTGCGGCCAGTCTTTCTCATCAGCATCCCAGCAGTTCAGAAAGTATTCAACAGAATCACAGATACCTCTGCTCAGCCACTTGTGGATAAGGTAAGAGTTGAGAGAAGTTCTTTGGCTGGATTGTTAGGGCTCTTGTCCATAACTTAGATAAATATTTACCTTCATATCTTCCACTAAAAGACTACTTTTTGCAGGTTGTTAGGTGATCACACTGTAGTTTTCTTTCTAACCTAAGCTATTTAGAAAGTTCTGGTTTGGGAACAGGCTCACATAAAGAGTTTTTGCATCATTCTCCTTTGATTCCAAATGTGAGAGTGTTTTACACTTCCTATATGGTACACTATGGTTTGATTTTTGAGACTGATAGATTTCAGATAAGCATAAGAAGGCTCAATCTAAAAGTTGGGGGTGGGATAACTTGGAGCATTTGGGGGGAGGGATAAGAATCTTTAGCTACAGACTCAAGGAACTCAAAGGATATGGTTTTTTTTTTTGAGTTTCTTTGAAAATCTACTAACAACATTTTATATAGTTGTCCACTTAGAGAAAGTAATCATTTAAGGCAGGAACATGGTAGTTAAACTTTCCTCCTTGGGCAATTCCAAAGAGGCAGGAGTGAGGTCTTTATGTATTTGCATTACTTGTTGAAGTCCCGTGTATGTGATTGTGATGCCAGTGCATGCTTGTGGATTCCCACACATTGGTTGTCCATGGTTGCCTTTCTTAGGCCCAGGTGTTGGTATGCCGAGCCCTCTCCAATGTACTACTGCTGCCGTGGCCAAACCTCCCAGAAAGTGAGCAGCAGTGGGCCGTGCGTTCAACAAACCATGCCAGCCTCATTTCAGCTCTGACCCGAGACTATCGCCACCTGAAATCCAGTGCCATTGTCCCACAGAGGAAGATGCAGCTTGAAGATAGTAAGTGTATTAGATTACTGGTTAATAACAATAGTGACCTGATGTAGTACTTACGGTTTTTAGAAAACTTTCATATCCATCCTCATTAGAGCCATATAATTGACTTGGAGGCTGTGCAGAAAGAGAAGTATCTGTGTTTTATAGAGGAGGAAACTGATAGCCAGAGAGATCAAATGATTTGCCCTGAATCCACACAGCCAATTTAGTGGAAGAGTTATCTGCCACACCATTTTACCCAGTTTCTGCACAGTTGTCTGAATAAGGAGGGTCTGTGAATCCAGATGCCATATGGTAGCTTGATTAAAAACCTGGAGAGTTGATAAACTCAAGAGAGATGGATTTCTTGATTGGTGTTCATGGGTTCATCCTTTTTTACCCCTCCTTCCTAGCTATTGTATTATACAAAGGCTAAATTTAAGGGTACAAATAGCCAGGATCAAGTAAGATCATCTATTTCTGGAATATCTTCTCAATGTCAGGATGTACCTGGATTCCAGGATTGAGGGTAGTAGATATAAAGGTAGAAGGGACCACAGAGGCCATCTAGTCCAACTCTGATTTTGCAGCTGATGAAGCTAGGATTTAGGGGGTTAAGTAGAGAGATTAAATGATTTGTGTGGTCATATGAGTTGAGAACCTCAGAGAGAAGATTTGACCTTCTGACTCTGGAGCCAACGCTCATCCACTGGACTATGCTGTTATCTAGATCTGAAAGAAAAAATTATGTGTGTGTTTACTGTACTCTTGCCTAAAATAGCTACCCTGTCTCTTGAATTGACTTGATTACCGCTATATTCATGCAGTTATCTGGGGTTTTGCCTTCTTAAGGGTAATTTTGGTATTTTTCCTGTGGATCCTATTTTGGTGGGTGGGGCTCGACAGAGGCAAGTGAGCTGAGCAGGCTTCTGAGAAGCAGGTAAGGTTTTAATGATAGATTGCAGTTGAGTGTGCGTTTAATATGTTTATCTTGCAAGGTATGTATCTGGCAATAAAGATAATAAAGACTCGATTTGTTCCTGTAGAGGCTACTGAGTGAGTGTCATACCCAGCGATAACTGAACTGTTGACACTTTCTCAGATTCCTTACGTGGTCGGTCCTTGGAGCATATCCTGACATATAACTTAATCTTGATTTGTAGCCAAAGTGATTATCCACCAGACACTTAGTGTCTTAGAAGATATCGTGGAAAGTATCTCTGGGGAAGCTACAAAGTCTCGACAGATTTGCTATCAGTCACTGCAAGAATCTGTTCAGGTCTCACTGGCCCTCTTTCCAGCTTTTATTCATCAGTCAGGTATGAATGAGCTCCAAGGCTTTCAGTGATTTATGGGGTAATGAGAATGAGGGCTAAGGACTCCATTGAAGAAAATAGGGTTAGTGCAAGTACAGTGCTTCAGCTTATTTAAGTGGAATGAGAATCAACACGGAAAATGATTATTTCTGTTTGGTGAATTTGGTTCTGAGAGTATAGAATCTTAACAAGGCAGATTGGTCTTGTTCCATGGTAATGAGCCAGATGGGGACTCTTCTTTTTCCATGAACCACTGTCACCTTCAGTTTTCTTTAGTCCCTGTTGTTTCTAACATGGGAGATTGAGGTAGATGAGAGTAATTTGGATCCAGTGTGAGAGGAAAACTGCTTTATGCAATTTGGCAATCCTCAAAATGACATACAGCAGTGTCTTTTTAGTCCCACTGGCATAAAGTATTCTAGCCATGTGGACTTAGTTTGCATGTCTTTTTGGTGTGCTGTTTGGATTACATGAAAACAGTATCTCAGTCAGCAAATATTTGTTGACTCTCTTCTTATATGCAAAGAGTTTCTCATCAATAAATGAAGGGCAATGCATATGACTGATATTTTTTGTAATTCATCTTTTTTTAATTCAGTAATAGGAATCATATATTCAATTAGCTATTTATCCCCTAAACTCGGAGATTTTTGACCATAGATAGAAATTGATAAAGCCCTCTCATATATTAACACAAATGCTTGTTTCTCTCCATATGAGTACACCATGATCTGCTCTGCATTGAAATCACATAATCATATTTATAGACTAGGGAATTTGGCTTCCAGACAAGCTTCATTTCCTACAAAGAATGTTCATGCAGAGATTGACCATTCCAAAGTTATTTCCTCAGCAGGTCTTAATCTTTTTCTCCTTCCCAGTATTGCTTATAGTAGCATCAGTGGATATAATTTCTCAGGGGTTCAGGGAAAATGGCCATAGAGTTTAGAATTGGCCATTGAGTTTATAGAACAGTTTATTGAGCATAGGGCTTCATGTTTGCCACTTTTATCATGCCTTTGATTGGTTTATTTTGTGTTTATTAGATGTGACTGATGAGATGCTGAGTTTCTTCCTTACCCTGTTTCAAGGCCTTAGAGTACAGATGGGTGTGCCTTTTACTGAACAGATCATACAGACCTTTTTAAACATGTTTACCAGGTAACTGCAGATATAGTAGTTAAATATTTCTGTGCCTGCTTCAAGCCTCATAAAAATGTTTGAATGATAACAAGTAACTCAATATATTAGAAGTTTTTAATTCTTCTGCTTGCTGCTTTGGGAATTGCATTGGCTTGTGCCATAAGAATTTCTTGTATTTCAATGTCTTTCCTCCCTACATTTCTTCAGAGAACAGTTAGCTGAAAGTATCCTCCACGAAGGGAGTACTGGCTGTCGGGTAGTGGAGAAATTTCTGAAGATCCTCCAGGTGGTAGTGCAAGAACCTGGCCAAGTGTTTAAGCCTTTCCTTCCAAGCATCATCTCACTGTGCATGGAGCAGGTCTGCCCTATCATAGCTGAGGTAAGATACTGGGTGCAGAAAGTCTAAGGGACCGCCTTGCTGGTAGTGGTGGTGGTGAGACACTTTGTTTAAGTTTCTATTTTTTTAATTTTTTGTTTGTTTTTTGGCTAGGCATTGGGGTTAAGTGACTTGCCCAAGGTCACACAGCTAGTAAGTGTTATGTATCTGAGGCCGGATTTGAACTCAGGTCCTCCCAACTCCAGGGCTGGAGCTCTATCCGCTGCACCACCTGGCTGGCCCTGTTTAAGTTTTTAGATCAAGTACTTGAAGGTCTTTCTTCCTACCATCCCTTCTTCACATTTTTAGTGGTGAGAAACTAGTCTTGGAAGTTTAACTACTGGAAAGGATTCATCAGAAAATTATCAGTTGCAGAGTAATAAGTTTAACTTTTGTTTAAAAAAAAAAAAGAACAGTTCAGTGGTAACTGTTGGGAAAGATTTTATTTTAAATATAGCTTTTAGTTATTAACTTGTGCTTCCTCTACTCTTTTGCTGGCTTAAGTTTTGGAGTCACCTATTGTGTATATATCTTTTATTTAGAGTGGTACCCCACACCTTAAGGGGGCTTGATTCCTCTTTATTCCTATTATGGAGAAGGGAAAAGGCACAATAGCCTTCTAGTAAGAGTATTAAATGTAATTTGGCTAGTTTTTGAAGCAGAAAAATCAGTAAATAACTCTCATTTCTGCTTCCACTCAGAAGCCCTCTTGAGTAGCACTGTAGGATAGTGGAGTTGGGAGTCCTACACTTGAGCCTCAGCTCCCTCTTTGATTTTCTCTAATTCCTTGGGCAAGTTACCTAACCTGTCTGGACTTTCATTTCCTCATTTGTAAGTTTTTATTTTATAAAAATAAGTTTTATAACTGTACCAGCCTCACAGGGCTTTCATGAGGAAAGCACTTGGTAAAATCCTATATGAACATGACCAATTATTGTTTCTAGGTTGAGGTTGCTGCCAAATGGAAAGCTCTAAACTGGCTTCCAAATCCTAGCCCAGACTTGACCTATGATGAAGCCGAAGCATTACTAGTTCATTTCAGCTGAGGATTCAAGTGGAGTTTTTTTTTCTTTTACCACACACAAAACATATCCCAGGAACTGTGGTCTTATTGTAACCAGACAACTCAGCAGCCTTTGATATGAGTAGTTTCCCTCTTAGCCAGAGAATTTAAGGGCATTTCTGTGTTTCCCAGCGTCCCTCTCCTGATGTGAAGGCCGAATTGTTTGAATTACTTTTCCGGATTCTCCATCACAACTGGAGGTATTTCTTCAAGTCCAGTGTCCTGGCCAGTGTCCATAGAGGAATTGCAGAAGAGCAGATGGAGAATGAAGTACAATTCAGTGCCATCATGCAGGTAATTTGAAAACCCTCGCAATTGATTGCTTCAATATAGAGCAAGAGTTAGAAAGTATTCTTTAAAAAGTTAGGAGTTAGTTTTTTGTGTTACAGACTCTGTTGAAACCCGTGGACCCCTTCTCAGAATAATGTTTTAAAATTCATAAAATAGATACCCTCTTCCCACAAGTATCTTTATCCCTCCTGGAATATCTTACAGAGTTCATCTCTTTAATAAGATTCACAATATCCCATTCCCAGAGGCTTACATAGTTCAGGGATACAGTGTGTTAAAGGCCCTAGGACAGGGATGGGGAACCTGCAGCCTCAAGGCCACGTGTGGCCCTCTAGGTCCTCAAATATGGCCCTTTGACTGAATCCAAACTTCACAGAACAAATCCCCTTAAAAGGATTTGTTGGGTAACACTTGGACTCAAGTTAAAAGGCCACACCCAAGAACATAGAAGGCCACATGTGGCCTCCAAACCACAGGTTCCCCACACCTGCCCTAGGAAGTCCCTATATTGTCTGTTCTTATGTCAGCTAAGATGAAGTCCCCACGTCAGCTTCCCTTTCCCATCAAGGAATAACCCTTAATCCATAATCATTTTTGCAGAGGGGGTGGGGGTAAGGGGAGGGGTGTCAAACTATCCCTGCCATTTCCATAGCCAAGAAGTTATGAGGAAGTTGTGGTAGCCTAGCCCGATGAGGAGATGTGAAGACTGTTCATAACAGGGTAGCAGTTGGGAGATACAGCATATAAAGCATACAGTCCAAAGAGAGCTGTATTCATTGAGTAGAACATATGGGTTTTAGGACAGTCATACAGACTCAGGCGTTCCTCAAGGTGTCGGTTGAAGTTAATTTATATAAATAGACTGAGTGATTGTATCCCATTTTAACAAGTGCAGTTTAATTCATCAAGAATGTATTAAGTTGGGGCAGCTAGGTGGCACAGTGGATAGAGCATTGACCCTGGATTTAGGAGGACCTGAGTTCAAATCTGGCCTCAGACATATAACACTTATTAGCTGTGTGACCCTGGGCAAGTCACTTAACCCTACTGCCTGCCCCCCCCCAAATGTATTAAGTCACAACTTTTTGCAAGGCTCTATGCCAGATATACAGAGACAAAAAAGAAATAGTCTGTCCTGAAATAGCTTATACTCTACAAGAATATAATAATAAAGAGTATACTCTTTATTATAAATAATAAAGTATACTACATAAGAGTATAATAAAAATATAATAGATAATTTTTTTAAAAAATGCTGTGTTTGCCTGAAAGGGGGCAATTTAATACAAAAATTAAGATGTGAGAAGTGTTGAGGAGATGTTGGAGCTGAGAGGATGGGTATAGAGTGGCCAGAAAGTTACATTTATACAGGTAGACATAACAAGAATACTATATACTCTTCAATTGTCTTGTGAGGTTTAAACAAACCCCTTCAAAATGGTTTCAATCTGTTCTTGAGATGTTTGCTTCTGTTTCTGTAAAATTCATTCTGTTTCCCAGGCTTTTGGACAATCTTTTCTCCAGCCTGATATCCACTTATTTAAACAAAATCTGTTCTACCTGGAGACTCTGAACACCAAGCAGAAATTGTATCATAAAGTAAGTTCTGCTCCTCCTTTAGAAATGCTTTCTTTGGGTTAGGTACAGCTATGAGAGTCCATTTTCTTAGATTAGTAATTTCTTGAGTACTTGGCATTTGCCTACCTGCTTGGGGCAGGGACTCAGTAGTAGAGGTTTCCTGGTGCTGACTGTGGCCATATATATTGAAAACTGTCATCTTTTCTACTTGCAGAAGATCTTTCGGACCACCATGCTGTTTCAGTTTGTGAATGTGCTGCTCCAAGTCCTGGTCCACAAGTCACATGACCTGCTGCAAGAAGAGATAGGGATTGCCATTTACAACATGGCTTCAGTTGACTTTGACAGCTTCTATGCAGCCTTCCTCCCAGAGTTTCTGGCTAGCTGTGATGGTGTGGATTCCAACCAGAAAAATGTTCTGGGGAGGAATTTCAAAATGGATCGGGTGAGAGGACAGAGAGGCCAGGCCACAGGGAAGGGCGGGTTTGGGCAACCTCATGGCCAGAGGCACCAATTCATCCGAGGGAGGTTGTGTTGCTCCAATTCCGGGGATGGTAAGGACCTGAATAGTTAGTTTGTACTAACACTTAGCTTGCCAGTGATTCATATAGTACCCACTAGATTTTCTCAGTGTCTTATGTACTTAGTTTGACTTTGCTCTTTCTCTTGCTTTGGCTTTGAGGAAGGAAGTGTTCTGTGAAATTGATTAGTGTTTCTGCCCTACTTCAGCTAACCAATTTGGGATGTAAATTAGGTAGGAAGCCCATTAGCTGGGGGTGGTCGCTTCCTGAACTTCCAGAACTCTGCCTGAAAGTGGCTTTGTTGTTAGCTGAACACACTGTGCTGGTATTAGCACAGTACTTGGCACATGGTAGTTACTTACTAAATGCTGTCTTCATTTTTCTATCTGAACAACAAACATGTCTTATAGGACCAGTCTAAAAGCTTTGCTGAAGCTAAAATGATCACCTAGCTTATATCTCCCAGAAATGCTGTAGGTGTACATTTATTTAGTCTGATAAAATTTGTGTTACTTAATGTTACTCCAGATCCTATGGTCATCAGAACATGTGAAAATTGAGTACTTGATTAGTTATATATTTCTCCAGGTATTAACGGTTAGCTGATTAGTCTCTTATCCTGGCTTTTGCTTGGGGTTCTTTGTCAGTCTTCCCAGTATTCTTCACAGTATTAACTAATGTAGCCATGCAGGTCAAAGAAGTATTTGCCTGCCTCCTTTGCCAGTTGCCAGACTGTTTCTGAACTGGAGCCATTGAAGAAAGAAGAGGAGGTCCAGGCAGGTGTCTTGTGCAGTTGCTGTAGCCCTTTCATTGTGACAGTAGCCAAAGGAAAGTTAGAGGTGGAAACAGATTGCAGGCCCCTGCTTGTTAGCAGCACAGGCTACGTGTCAAGCTAACTGGGCCTTGGGCTGATGGACACACCAGCTAATTTCATTCATTGTTATCCTTACTTCCAGCTTGTCCTCCTTGGCAAGACTGGCTTTAGTTGTCTGGTCAGAATTGTTGACCTCTTGTGGGAGAGCCTTTGTTGCTTTATTGCAGTCTGTTTTTTATCTCTCTTTCCCTGTATAATAAAGAAATAGAATTTCCATTTTTCTTTTTAATGTCTGGTAGATATGAAGAGTACATATTTGTAGTACATAGGAAATTACAACTACCTCCTCCCATTTTTCCCCTTTGGTTTTCTTTATTCCCATAGCCTTTTGAGGTTTCTCTGAATTCTCTGACTGTTTGGCTTACACTTTGTTCCTAAACTTGAGGTTTTTCTATATCTCTTAGTTAAAGTTTTTTCTCACTTTCCTTGAGTTTTATATGTGTTTTCACAGTTTTTTCTTTACCCCTTAGATTCTCTGTTCTTCTTTGTCATAGCGAGCATGTGATCCATTCTGCTATTACTTACTGAGACTTTTTGGAATTCACCCTACTGGCATTAATTTTCAGTGTTCTAGTTTCCCACTTTTTTTAGGGGGGGGTTAGAGATGCCTCAGACGTGAATACAAGACTTAGAAAAAAGAGATTTCAAAGAGGTTTCTGCCCTGTTTGGGCATATATTGAGGTCAGTAGATGTCCTCTGAATACTTGATGGCAAAATCAGTCATCAAAATGTGTTTCCTGCCTTAACAGGCCTAGGAAATGGCTGAGTGATATCTTGCCACAAATGACATAAATCTTCTCTAGTTATTGAAAAAAATTATAAGGAAATTTTGACCTTTGTCTCTTCTTCCTTACTTTCCAACTGATTTCAGAAGTCTTGAAATGGTCATCAACATTCTGAGCTAGTTGGGTCAGTAAAAAGATGTGTTTGTTAGCTGGTGCAGGGGATGACATGACTGGTACTTTTGAGGAGCAGCCAGTTTCTTTATTGAGATTCCATGTAGGCTACATGCCAGACATATCTTTGCTTATTTGTCTTAACAGGCATATAGTGAAGGGGATCGTGTCTTTAGTGTTCAGGATCTGGCAGTTTTATCTTAGCGCCTCTGCATTTTGCTCAGGCCTCCCACACAGGCTTCAGTACTTCTGTTGAGAATAGTCCTTCCTTTTCTTTATGATGCAAAACCCAGCCCACCACACCTGTTTCCTTTGGTCATCTTCTCTGTGGCTGCTGGGCATAAGATCACAGGCTTAGAGTTGGAAAGGGAATCTAGAGGCCCTTTGATCCAACACCCTCATTTTACAGATGAGGCAGCTAAGACCCAGAGGAGTTTGAAAGTGACTTGGCTTCAGGTCACATGGGCGGTAAGTAGCAGGACTGGGATTCCTCTTAGCTCCAGATTCCATGCTCTTTGCTCTTCACCACCTAGTTTGTCCTACTGAAGGTTCCCAGGTGTTCAGGGAAAGCCTCAGGTGAGAAGGAATCAGCGATGATAATGACAGACCCTTGGACTTTTCTCTAGCAGGAATTTTCACCCAGCTCCTCAACTAAACTGAGGGCAGAGGAGTTTTTCCACATCTAGACAAGGACAACCAGTGGGAACCTAAGTCCCTGCAGTCAGGTGGTATGGCAGTAGTCCTTAGCTTGTGAGAATGAACTGGAGCTGTTAGGTGAAATAAGGAGGAAATTAGGGCGGAGTGTTGTCAGGAATAGTTGGTGAGTGAATGATGCTGTGATTTGATGAAAGCACTGGAGTTTTCCCTCACAAAGTCCAAATTGGATCAGCTGTTGATGATCACTTTCCAATGCTATCTTCTTTTTTTTTCTCTTTCAAATTCAATAAATTCCCAAGTCTTTTCTCTTGAGGATCAATCTAGAAAGAAAACCATTAGCAATTGGTTTCTTCAGCTTTAACACTTAAGAATAATTTCTAACCATGTTCTCTACCAGTAGAAATGTTGTAGAGGTAATTTTGCATGGGTTGAAAAGATCACACTAGATAACCTTCCAACTTTAGTTCTGTGACTCTTCCTTGTGTGATGTGTTTTGTGCTCACACGCATGCATGCGTGTGTGCCTGCATCTGTGTGTGTTTAATTTTTTGGTTGTCAATATCTTCATTTCTTCCATCCATACTGATAAAATTGATTTAAAAAAGCTTTGTCTATTATCTCAGGAAGGAGCTGCTCATTAGCTCCATATTAGCTCTTTGGGAGGAACTAGTAGGGGCAAGGCTATGTAGGGACTTGACTTTTAGTGAGGGGGGAGACTGAGGTAGTTAGAAAGAGAGATGCCTTCTTCAGGAAGTGTTTTTTGGTACCATTTTTGTGTAGCTGGTTTCTTTTGTCACAAGAAACTGAAATGAGTGGTCAGAATTCCAAACTGGTGTCCCATGTTACCTGAAGAGGCCTTACTCCCATTTTTCAGTTCACTTTGCTTTTGTAATGAGCAGCTTGGGTTTGGAGAGGTTAATATTCAGAAACTTGTACTGATCCAACCAAGAATTACAGAATGAATTTCAGATTTAATATCTATTGCATTTAGATTACTAAGATATTTCTTTTTTCATCGAAGGTAGACTGAGAACTGTAGACAAAGCTTTTAATCCCTCTTGATCCCTCTTGATCCTAAAGGTCTTTTAACAGATCTGGACTGTCCCAAGACCACATAGGGAACAGCAATGTGGGTATGGAGATTGGCTGAGACAAGGAGGGGAACCCTAGCTAGATTTATAAACCGGGTCTATTTTTGAGTCAGTGGGGCTTATTCCTATGGGCGTCTTGGTTGCTACAGCTCTGTCTTCCTGTCTTTCAGGACCTGCCATCGTTCACCCAGAATGTGCACCGACTGGTAAATGACCTGCGCTACTACAGACTTTGCAATGACAGTTTGCCCCCAGGCACAGTGAAGCTATAGTGTCTGCACTGGACCCTTATTCTGTTTACTGTCCCAACAGATCTGTACTTCTGCCGCTGCTGCCACCACCACCTCCACCTCCCTTCTCTCAGACCTCTTCGGGGCACACCATGGACACATGTTGGTGAATTTGCACCCTGGGCTCCATCTACAACTTAACCTCCCATCCCCCACCCTTTGTTCCTGCCTCAGCCCCAGGTGACTCACCAGCACTGTCTTCAGGATGTGTCTTAACACCAGTTGTAGCTACCAGGGCATTTGGAGAGGACGGAGAGTCTTGTTGTCAGGTATTAGGGTCTTAGCACTTTCTGTGATGTCCGGAGATTTCAGTGGGTGGTCTGTGCAGATCATGTGTATATCAATCATGAGGCAGAAACGCCAAAGACAACTTAAGACATTTGTACCTTCGCATCATTCCGCCTTCTTGCACCCACTCCCTCCTCCCAAGGCTGTCGAAGGAGAAATGTGACATCAGAACTGTTCTGGCACTTCTGTCACTCCCTATTCTCTCCTGTCCCACCCTTCCCTTCCTCCCATCCCTCCCCCTTTACATCTCTGCTATTTGCAGAGATTAGAAAGACTTTTGTTTTTGTTATTGTTTTCTCATCATTCCATTGTGATACTAAGATGCTTAATGGAAATAAAATGCTTATGTTGTTGTTTTAAAAGCTGGCAAAATTAGCTTCTCTTTCCACAAATAGTACCTAGCAGGGTTAGTGTACTGAAAACCCTGGTAGGAGGCAGAAGATCTGGAAGCCCTTAAATGAAAAGTTAACTCTCTTGAACCTCTAATCTTTGCTGATGCAGGCTTGATCTTCTAGGCAGTGTTTCTGAGTGGGTGGGGGGTACACTGAGGAATGTGTAAAGGATCACATTAGGCTTCTGTCTGTGGCTTGACTGAGTTTGGGCAAATGTCTTTTCAGTCAGGCATGATACTGAATTATTTTGTGGATAATAGGTAGTCATAAGTGACTTCAAGACTGAACAGGAATATGGTGGGCAGGTGAAGGTGGATACTGCTCACTTGCTCTGGGGAGTGACTCGTGGCGACTCAATCATATCTGATTTTAGAGGTCCCTCTAGCAATACAGCTGTTCCTAGAAAGGGTACATGCGGGTGTGCGGGGTGTAGTGGATGAGAGCAGGGTGAGACTTGGGGGTCCTGAGTAGTACTCTGTGCCAAGCACTTTCCTTAACTGTTCCAAATATAGAACTCACATATTCTCAGAATTGGAAGGGCCTTGAGAAGACATTAGTCCAGCCTGTACCTTCAGAAGGATTTCTTCTACAACATATCCAACAAATGGTCATCTGCCTTTTTTTAAAGACCTCAAGTGATGGGTAATCCACTGATTCCTGAGACAGCCCATTCTGTTTTGGAATAGCATTGTTAAAAAATTCGTCTCCTGGTTTAAATTTGCTAGTTTGGCAACTTCTGCTCACCTCTCCTAGTTTTGCCTTCTGGGGCCACGGAGAACATGTTGATAAGCACTTAGTCCAGAAGACAGTCTTTCCAGTTCTTGAAGATTGCTGTTGTGTCTCCCTACCCCCCAGTCTTTTCTTCTTCATCTACGTTTATTTCATCTGAACTTCATATGGCAAGAATTTGAGGCCCTTAATTATCCTGAGTGGTCCTCTTCAAGTTATCATTGCCCTTCCTAAACTGTGGTACTCGTAAACGAATACAGTATTCTAGCAGTGTTCCTGGTCTGAGCAGGGCGTAGGACAGCAGGACTGTCACTTAACGGACACTGTCCCTTAAGGAAGCCTATGATGACGTTAGATTTCTTGTCTACCAGGTTTGTCTCACAAATGTGAAATATGTGAAAGCCCTCACTCAGAGGGCTTTTTACTTGGAATATGTACAAAACAGTAGCACAAGATGAATAGGCGTTCATTTGGATGCAATAATAAAATACCGTGGTATAATTTTATATATATTAAAGTTTGTCTCTATCCTAATTTCCCTTAAACAACAGTGATTGTTAAAAAAAGCAAACAAAAAAGATTTCTAGTCTACAGTGTTCCACTGTTGACTCATATGGAGCTTGTAGGCTATTAAAACCCACATAGCATTTCCAGATGAACTGTTGTCTGGCCATGCTTCTCTCTTCTTAGTTTTGTGAAACTGATGTTTTAAACTCAAGTGAGAGACTTTTCATTTATCCCCATTAAATTTTATTATTTTCAATTTTACTTAATGGTTTACCTTTGGGGATTTAAAAAAAAATCATTATCAGCCATTTTCTTAGCTAGACCTCTCAGGTTTTTGTCATCTACAAATTTGATAAGCATGTTCTTTATGGTTTTTTTCCCATGTCAGTAAGAAAAATCTTATGTAGTTTGAGCCACACACAGATCCCTGGGGCCCTTCATCTGTAACTGTCCAAGATTACATTGAACCATTAATAACTACTCCTCGGGACTGGCCATTCATCCAGTTCCAAATCCACCTAATTATAACAATCAATTAGCCCACATATCTCTTGTTTTTCCCAAGAATAGTGTAAAAGACCGTATCAAATGCTTTGCTAAAATTTAGGCAAATTATTTTATAGTATTTCCCTGACTTGATACTAATCTAGTGACCCTCTCAAAGAAAGGAAATAAGACCAACATGACCTGTAATTGGCTGAAATCATACCAGCTCATTGTGAACCTCTTTTCTAGATGTTTACTAACTATCCTTTTAATGATAACCTTCTAGAATTTTGCCAGTTAGCAAAGTCAGTCTCACTGACCTATGATTTTCAGGTTCCCTTTTCTCCCTTTCCTGTTGGTACCTCTCCAATTTTTGTAACTTTTCAAAGGTCATAAACAATGGCTCAGTAATCACATGTGCCCTTTAAGCATTTTTAAGATGCAGTTCGTCTGGGCTGGGTGATTTGACTCAAGCAGCTGTTGGGCCTTCACTTTACTATTGCCTTAACTTTTATATTGGATATCAGCTTCTGTGAGCTGTTTTTGTTCTGTTCTTTGCAGACCAAAGATCTTTCTCCTTGGCATAGAAAACAGATGCAAAATAGGATTTGTGCAGCTTCCTGTCCACCCCTGGTAGCAGTTCATTCTCCTCTTTGATTCTCCCTTTTCCCCCAACATTGCCCTGTTTGTTATCCTTAGCTTGGCCTGCCAGATTCAGTTCATTCCTGGCATTTTTTGCTTGTTTTAAATTTTTATCGCTAGCTTTTATTTTTACAGCACTTTCATTTTCCAAAATAGTCTTTCCTTCCCCCATCTCAGAGAACCATCCCTCATGATAAAGAGTAAGAAGGAAAGAGTTCAGGAAAACTAACCAGCATATTAACCGAGGCAGAGTTTCACCCCATAGACTCCTCGCCATGGTGCTTGAGGGAGAGAGAGAGGTTCAATCTCATTTCTTCTTCAGGTCCACATTTGCTCATTTTAATTACACAAGGTTGTTTTAGTTTTTTCCTTTCCTTGTTTTAATTTTTCCTTTTCCATGGTTGTTGTCATCATATATATTGCTTACTTGGTTCATATGTCTTTCCTGGGGTCATTGTTTAATACAGTACAGTAATGGTCCATTATATTCATGTGCCAGTGTTTAGCTATTTCCCAATTCATGGACATCTGCCTTTTTTGCTTTAGCATTCTTTATAAAATTATGCCGTTCTTTTATATTTATCCTTTGTTACCTGTTGGTACTTATACGTTTTTAACATTTAAATTGCTGGATGGGATAGATACGTGTGCAGCCACATAAGTCTTATCTCCTTTTTGCCCCTTGTTGGAATTATTTCTCTGTGTCTTCAGAGTTCCTTTAGGACTTGTCAGCATAGCCCTCCTGGGCTGACTTCTCTATAGAATTTCAGGGTATAAGATTCTACCTAACTTTCCTCAGAACCCTTTGGAATTTCCTGTTTCAAAAATGTAGGTCTCATGTTAGACAATACCTGGCTTTTCTTCTGTATTAGCAATTCTCCAGTGGAATTGTCCCTCTCCTCAAGGTTTCCATTCATTTCCCCTCCATCATCCAGTTCCCTTCGTGTTTGTAAGAATCAGGTGCAGAATAGAATTTGCCTTTATAGGCTTCTCAGCCTTTTGAAAGATGAAATTATCATTAAGGAAAGTTATGAAGTTATTAGTTGCTTCTGACAGAAAACCCCAGGCAGATAGATGTCCAGGTAACTGAAGTCTCTCGCAACTACCCTATCGTGCTTTTGTGGCAGGCTTGAGATCCGCTGAACTCCACATTGATATTTCTCTCTTTTGAGGTGGTCTGTAATACGCTCTGTGGGCATTATCAGTCCTTTTTCTCTCTGCTGATCTTGACCTAATTGTTCACCATGCTTCCATCTTCTGGTTCCTGGATTTTCTGGTGTTAACACTTTTATAGACATTGCTGTTCCCTCTCACTTTAACAATGCTGTTTACTTTGAATATAAGGCATGTTAGTTCAAAGCCATGTTCTAGTTATGTTTCAGCAATAGATCTAAGAGGTTGAATTTGACTCCTTTGTCCACCTTGCCTTGTTACTATCTATCCTGTATGTATTTGTGTATAATCATCTGAGACCATAGGTTTTATATTAAATTCCCCTTCAAACTGACTCCTCTCTAGGATTTTGTCTACTGTGAATCCCTGAGCATTTCTTTTCTAGTTCTACATTGTAACTGTTCTCCGTGGTTTAGTGGATATACACAGGCATTTTTGCATTCAGGCAAATATACTCTTACCAGCTCTTGTTAGGTGTGCCCTATCCTTGACTAGGATACTGTTCTCATGTTTTAAGCTATGGTCCAGAAATGCAAATCCCATTCTCAAATGCCATCTTTTTAGCCAGCTGTGCTCTTCCAAAATCTCCCTTTCATTTCTGAATCCCTTGTGCTTCAGTGGATAGTAATGATAAAACAACGTCTGTGCTAGTAAGAGTTTCATTTTCTTGCCAGTAACCACATAATCCTTAACAATGCGTTTCTGGGTTACTTCTGGAAGTAGCGTGTGTTCCCAAGTGAATTACCAGAAGTAGGTTGAACAAGTCTTGGGAACAAATTCTCTGTCCCATCTAGGAGACATGGCCTGGGAAGATAGCAGATCTCCCTCATTATCAGGCCAGCAAATAACCTCCTCAGTGCCTGCTTAGCAGGCAATCTACCCACCAGCATCATTTGCCTCTTCTTCTCTGACCCTTACAAAGTGATCCTTCAGCTAACAGCACCTGGATTCATCTCATAATGCAGGGCTCCTTAAACTTTTTCCACTCACGACTCCTTCAGCGCATCTTAAACTGTGCATCGTGACCCCATATGGGTAAGAAGCGCTGTTAGAGTACCAGCCTCTGCTTCCTCTTCAGAGTGTCCAGCTTCTTCTTTGGGAAGATCTTCATGTTCATTTTTTATATTTTAAGTCTTTACTGGTCCTTCTCTTGCTCCTTTGTGTGATATTCTTCCATCCTCCAACCTCCTGACACGGGTGTATATATATATCTCTGTGTGTGTGTGTGTGTGTGTGTGTGTGTGTGTGTGTAGGACAGAGAGAGAGATGCACACATAGACATATAATATATGCATATGCATATGTTGTGTGTGTGTGGACAGAGAGAGATCCACACATAGACATATAATATATGCATATGTTGTATGTGTGTGTGTGTGTGTGTCTAAAAGGAAAATCTCATATTCTTTTATTTCAAGAGTTGGCAAGTGTTC